AGCCCCCTCTCAAACCCAGAGCCAGTTTCTCCCTTGGATCTGTATACTTGGAGCAAAACATTACTCTATTCCGCAGGCCTCCCCGCCTCTGCCACCCACACCTCTGGGCCCCTGGCAGGGACTGCGCCCTGGTCAGAACAGGTGGTAGCCCATGTGCTTCCACCCTCGCCTTCTCTCTGTTCTGGATTTTCAGGTCATGACAGAGGGAGGAAAAGAAGGCTGCGCTGGAAGTGGAACCTTAGTGGGAAAGGGGGCATGGATCCTTAGGAATATAAAGGGCCTCAGGTCCTGGCCAGAGACGCTTTGCTGTGCTCCTCTGCACTTGCCCAGCACCATGGTAATGTCTGGTGGCCAAGTTTGGGCTCCCTATCAGCTGTATTCTCTAGGAGCTTGGGGATGGGGCCTGGCACCAAGGACCCTCCTCAGGCCCACTAAGGGCATGAAGGAGTTAGGCAAGGGCAGCCTCATCTACCATTCTGATGGTCAGGACAGCTACTAGGGCTTCTTATCCCTGCTTGGGTGGTGGGGATGAGTGGAATTCCCACTTAAAAGAGGGTTGAGGGGCTTAGGAGCTCTGGGGGTGTGCATCACGTTTATGGGCATATAGCCTGAATCATGGTGTGCTGCAGGCACAGAATTCTCTGTGCATTGGGTGTGTGAATCATCAGGCTGGCTTTCCTGTGTGTAACACTTAGTCATTCATTTAATATGTATTATCGAGTATCTACTAAGTGCCAGGCACTGTTCTAGGTGCTTGTGATACATCAATAGACAAAATAAGCAAAGAGCCCAGTTGTGATTAATGATGCTTACATTGAGGGAAGGGACTTGGACATAAATATAATAAGTATAGAATACATAAGTTAGAAAGTGCAGCCAGGTGTGGCTGCGCATACCTGTAATCCCAGCACTTTGGGAGGCAAGGCAGGAGGATCTCTTGAGGCCAGGAGTTTGAGACCAGCCTGGGCCACCTAGCAAGACTCCATCTCTACAAAAAATTAAAATTTAGCTGGGCATGGTTGTGTGCACCTGTAGACCTACCTACTTGGGAGGCTGAAGCAAGAGGATGGCGTGAGCCCAGGAGTTTGAGACTGCCGTGAGCCATGATCCCGACGCTATACTCTAGCCTGGGCAACAAAGCAAGTCCTTGTCTAAAAAAAAAAAATTCATAAAAAATAAAAAAGTGCAAAAATAGAGCAAGAAAAAGATAGAGCAAGATGAGGGGTTGGGTTGCAATATATATATATATTTAAATTGTAGAGACAGGGCTCTCTGTCTTTTGCACAGGCTGGTCTTGAACTCATGGGCTCAAGCGATCCGCCCGCCTCAGCCTCCCAAAGTGCTGGGATTACAGGCGTTATATACCGCACCCTGCCTGGTTGCAATTTTAAACAGGGGTGTCAGGGTAAGACCCATTGCAAAGGTGGATTTTGAGTTAATGCCTCCAGGGGGCGACAGAGCTGGCCATGAGGCTGTCTAGAGGAAGGGTCTTCCAGGCAGAGAACAACGTGACTGACATTTTGAGGGAACGGCAGGGAGAAAAGAGGGCGATAAGTAAGAAATTTGCGGGAGAGAGGTCGGTGAGATTAGGGAGCTGTCCAATGGTTTCACGCTGACCTCGTGCGTACACCTTAGGGTGTGTCTCCCCGTCCATTTTTACCTCGATGCTGTCAGCGTGCATCACTGGGCATGTCCAGGTGTGCACCATTCCCCCGGGCACCAGGATGTCCCTTAGGGCGTCCGTGCACTGGTGTGTGTCCTAGAAATAGTCACGTCCCTCGGCCTGAGCGCCCCTGCACCCAAGCCTGCCCACCGCGCGGAACACCCGCAACCTACGGTCCGGGCTCTGCCGACCCCAGCCGACCGGAGCCGCGGAGTCACGTGACCGCCCGCGGCTCTGTGAGTCCCGAGCTCTCCAGACGCCGGCTCCGCTCTGCGCATGCGCTCTGGTCGTAGCTGGCCTCGTGTGGCTGCTGCTGCCGCCGGAGGGCGCCCTGGGCGAGGAGCTGCAGGTGCCGCAGCAGTCCATGTCCGCTAGTTGGCTGAACTTAGGTTGGATCAAGAAGTACGTGGGGGAGGCTCTTCAACAGCAGGTGAGCCGGCGGAGGGCGCGAGGGAGGGAGGGAGGGAGGACGGCGGAGGGTGCTGGGGGACACGGACGCCGCCGGACACACCCACGCGCATCGCGGCCCAAGCTGGGCTCGGGGAGCGGCCTCATGACCGCTGCAAAGACGTGTTCTCAGCTCGAAGAAATCTAAAAACCACAGGAAAATTGCGAACGCCACGAACACCTCCCTACCGAAAGCTACGAAACCCCCTCCATGGACCACCACGAAACCCCAGTGGCTGAACACCTCGGAACCCCGACCACCAACCTCCTCCCGAGGCCCCAGGTAGGACAGCCTGTATACTCGGCACCGAATCAGGGGCCTCGGAACTGGGGGCTGCTTGGGTGGGAGCGAGAGGAAGCCCTCGGGGGCGGGCGTGCGGGGAGATACTGGCGCCCTGGGACTTCCTTCTCCAGGCTGGGGCCTGGCCTCCAGACGTCTGACCCCCCACCAGCCCCTTTATATTGAGAGGGGCCTCAACTCCTCCTCATCCCCTCAATGAAAACAATAAAGACAAATCTCTGTTGCTTCAGTGACTTCTGTGGGCCGGGGAGGGACCAGTCCTTCGACAGGGAAGGGGAACCCTGGAGTTCCTGCTGTGGGAGAAAAGGACCTCAGCTGTGGGGTGGAGGGGTCCTCCCCTCGCTCCCCAGCAACCTTCTCCCAGCAGGATTGGCAGGGGGTGGTTGGGGGGGGGACTCCAATACAGAGGGAGAGGGAGGGCAAAGGTGAGAGAAGCTGGAACCTTTTTTTTTTTTTTTTTTTTTTTTTGAGAGGCACGCTCGCTCTGTCGCCCAGGCCGGAGTGCAGTGGCCGGATCTCAGCTCACTGCAAGCTCCGCCTCCCGGGTTTACGCCATTCTCCTGCCTCAGCCTCCCGAGTAGCTGGGACTACAGGCGCCCGCCACCTCGCCCGGCTAGTTTTTTGTATTTTTAGTGGAGACGGGGTTTCACCATGTTAGCCAGGATGGTCTCGATCTCCTGACCTTGTGATCCGCCTGTCTCGGCCTCCCAAAGTGCTGGGATTACAGGCTTGAGCCACCGCGCCCGGCCGAGAAGCTGGAACCTTAAAGGAGGGCTTCAGCTCGACACACCCGCAGTCCCACCTCGCCCAGGTTTCTACCAAACAGCCCAGCTTGGGCTGTCAGAGTTGGCACAGGAACAAGAAGAGGTGCCTTTGCCCCTCAGCATGCAGAGTATGGGGGGTCGCCTTTGCCTCCTGGACTTCTGAGCCCTTCTAGGGTGAGCAGAGCAGGGGAAGGGGTGGACCTGGCCAGGGCCTGTCCCTGAGAAGCTGGGTGTGAGGGTGGCGCTCTCTCTTCTGGGGGCTCCCATGGCCATCAGAGAGGCTTGGTGGGGGCAGAGCCCTGTGCCCTGATCCTACTCTCACATCCAGGTATGTCTTCAGGGTGCGAACTCCTGGCCCTAGGAAGTATCCACACCTTTCCCCATTCACACCCCATCCCCTTAAGCTGCCAGAGAAAATGCTGGGACTTCAGGCTCCCTTATTCAGACTCAAACCATTCTCTTGCTGAAGCCATCTCTCTATCCAGACACCCCTTGGATTTAAGAATCAACCTGAGGTCGGGCACGGTGGCTCACACCTGCAATCCCAGCACTTTGGGAGGCTGAGGTGAGCAGATCATTTGAGCTCAGGAGTTTGAGACCAGGCTGGGGAACATAGCAAGACCCTGTCTTTATAAAAATAAAAAAAATTAGCTGAGCATGGTGGCATGTGCCTGTAGTTTCAGCTACTTGGGAGGCTGAGGCAGGAGGATCGCTTGAGCCCAGGAGGTGAAGGCTATGGTGAGCTGTGCTCATGTCACTGCACTCCAACCTGGGTGACAGAACAACACCCTGTATCCAAAGACAAACAAAAAATCAATTTGAGCCAAGCAGCTGCATCCTTTTAAAGCTCTTTGTCTTTTAGGACCTGGTTCTACTTCCAGGTCATTTGCACACACCAGATTGAGTCCGGACTTGAGGGGAAACACAATTGTGGTGTCATTTCCATGGGATCTGTGCAAAGTACTGAGCCCAGGAAAGTGGATGCCTCATCCTCCAAACGCATAACCCCATCCCTTCAGGCCAAGTGTGTGGGGGAGGCAGGAGAAGCCATTCTAGGAACCAGACACATTCTAGTTCCCTCACTTCTCCCGTGTACACACACGCACACACACGCATGCACGTGTGCTCTGTCCCCACCTATTCAGGATGCCTGAGAAGGGCCAGGAAGACAGGTGCACTGGGACTCCGAGCAGTCCTCCCTGAGGCAGGATCCATGTCCTCGCCCTCCCAGAGCTGGAGTGTGGAATCCACAGATTGGACTCATGGCAGTGGCTGGAACTCTCAGCTAATCTAGCCTCCTCCCCTTCCACAGCAGCTTGAATACCTCCTGTGCCCAGGATTTCGCTACCTCTCTGGACAGCCCATTCTCTCCAAATTTCTGGACAGCAGCTCAGGCCCCTAGATGCAGCCGTGACTGCCATAGCACCAGAATTGTGCCTCTGTGCTGGGCTGATCCCCTACCCCCATGCCAAGGATGCTTTCATATCACATTTTGGTGCTCCTGCTGCCTCAGCCACAGGAAAGCACTGGTGCACCTGGGGCAGGGTTGTCATGGGGCTGAGTTGGGAGGGTCTACAGGTGCTGAACTGGGAAGAGTCAAGCTCAAGACTGCCACTTCACAGGTTGCCGAATGACCATAGAGGAGTCCCTGCCTTCCTCTGGTCACAACTTGTCCCTCTGTGAAGTGGAGAGGATGAGCTGAGTGACTGATGACCCCATGGACGTTCTGGATGATTTACAAGCATAGCCTGCTTTCTCCGTTGCCTCTGCCCTGCCCTCCCCTTTCTCTCCATGCATTTAGCTCTTCCTGCTGCCCTGCACCAGGAGTCCACAAAGTCACAGGGATAGACTGTGGCTTTGACTTGCTTTATTGAGCCTGTGCGGGAACAAGGAGCCAGTTTCGGCCAGAGCCAACAGTGCGGAGGGGAGAGCTGGGCTGGCACTGCCCATGGAGTGGTAGGAGGCAGGAGGTAGCGTTACAGTTCCAGCAGGCTGAGCTCCCTGTGAGGACAGGGTGGAACATGGCAGTGTGCGGGGCAGGCCTTGTGCCGTCAGGAGGCCTTAGGCCAGCCCTGGGCTCCTGTTCTCCCTCTTCCACCCCCCACCACACCTTTTTAAGCCCTGATTCAGTCCCACCATCCCCATTTCAGCCCCAGGGAGCTGGACAGACAGGGCAGAGAGTCAAACTCACCTGAGGGCAGCAGCATGGGAGGACCCCACTCTGAGAAGGCCAGCGTGTCCTCTTTGTCTCTTTCCCTATACATGGAAGCCCTGTGCCCAGGTGCCAACCCACCTGTTTCATATCTGCCGGTAGGCACCTGCTTGCCCAGGGCACATGGGCCCAGGCCTGGTCAGCACAGAAGCTCTGTTTCCCCAAGAGTGACCTGGAAGGGGCTGGGGCTGGAGATGGGGCTTGGGCTGGGGATAAGGTGTGGCCAGGAAAGTGGAGTGGGCCCAGGGTCCCAGGGGCTAGGGTCTCTCTCCCTGTCCATGGCACATGCCTAGGCTTGGTCAGCATGTTGATGTATCTGTGGAGCTCAGCTGCATACTGGGCCATCTGCTCTGGCGTGGCATTGCCCCCTGGGTACAATGGCTCCAGCGGGGCTCCCCAGGCACCCAGCAGTGGCTGCAGCAACAGAGCCACACAGGTGGACAGGAGCAGCAGGGAGAGGCAGCAGCGTGCAGCAGCCATCTGGGGAGCAAGCAGAGGGGAGGTGGAGGCAGAAGAGCCTGCGCTGCAGATTTTCCTATGCCCAGGAAGCAGGGCCCATCTACCCAGCCCCTTAGCCCATCATCCATTTCTCCAAGCCTGGGACAAGAAGGCAGAGAAAAGGGCCACTCTGAGCTGTCTGCTCCACCTCCTAGACACTGCCTTGGAGGCATGGAGAGCCCGTCCTGTGAGCAGCCCAGCAGCCAGGTCCTCACAAGTTAGAAAAGTGTAGCAGAGAAAATGGGGACATGAGTCCTGGAGACATATGTTTCATGACATCCAGGGCCTCGTGGCTCAGAGGCAGCAGTAGATAGTGGGAAATAAGGGCACACCAGGTCACCCCCAGGGCGCGGGACACGGAATGAACTGGGGAAGCAAAGGACAGAAATCCATGGCCTTGTGGGTCTGGCCCTCCACTCATCTGTAGAGACAGACATGGGTCCTGGAGAAGACACTGTTGCCCATGTCATCCTGCACAGACCGGCACAGACACTCACACAGGGACACATTCCAGTTCACAGCCACACACACGAGTGCGCACACACACTTGTCATCAGATGGCTTCTAGCGCGACAGGTCTGTCCAGATGCAGAGCAAGAGCCAAGCAGGACCTTAGACCTTCAAAGGCCCCTGGCCCTGCAAAGCACCAACTCCTTCCCTCCATCCCAGGCTGGGGGGAGTCCTCCAGAGCCCCAAGCAGGCTGAGCCCCACTTCCCAGAGTCAGGAATAAACAGTCACTGGACCAAGCAAGGACAGGTCCCTGCCCTCGGCTGGGCTGCTTCATAGCCCTCAGTCCCCTAGAGTCCTCGCCTCCTGTCAGCCTGTCCCACTCCACAGCCCTTACCCACTCCTCCCACTGTCTCCCTGGTACTCCCAACGCCAGTACTGGGGCCAGAGATGGGAGGGGGACAGGGCGGTGCTGGGGGTGCCAGACTAGCAGCATAGTCGATAAAACTGGACCACAGCAAAAGTCTCCTGTGGGCCCCCATCGCTGACACCCCTTCCCTTTGGGCACTAGAGCAGGCTTGGTTCAAGAAAGATGGAGTTCTGGGACTTCAGGATGACCGAAAGGTTTTGGTCACAGGCCTTGGAACTGGCCCTCCCATCTCCCAAGGATCAACCGAAATCAAACAGATTCTCTCGGGACAGAAGATTGAGGCTGCAGCTGGAGCCTCCAGGATGAAGAATGGAAACTCAGGCCATCCTTTGCAGTTTGGAACTAGAACAAGGTGGGAACAGGGAAGGGGCCTCAGGTCCTCAGGCAAGGTGGAAAGGAGTGGGGTGCCAGGTTTGGAGAAAGCTGTTTGGTGGGTACATAGGATACAGAATGAGAACTAATGTGCCTGGGTTCAGGGGAAAGGTTGAGGGGGTGCCAGTTTCTGGGAGCCATCCCAGAGCCCCCATTCCAGGGGAGTGCTAAAAACCAGCATCATTTATAAAGCCTCACCCTTTTTCCAAAGTGCTCCCAGCTCAGTCACCTCACTAAATCCCTACAACAACCCACTTTACAGATTCAGGGTCCAAAATCTGCTCAGAGATGTCAAGTAACTGGCCCCAGACCACACAGCTAGTCAGTGGGAGTTCTGGGGTTTGGAACAAAATCTAACTCCAAAGTCTAACTCCAAAACTGAACTGTATTTTTTTCTAAGTGGGAGTGTCAAAGTATTGGCATAATTTCCAACTTTTTTGCTGAGAAACCTGAGGCTCACAGAGGTAAAGAGGCTTGCTCAAGATCTCATAGCTACCTAGGTCTCCAATTCTGGCTTAGATTCTCAACCCACTAATCCATCCCCACCAGAATCCCCCCGAGTCTCCCCTGCCCAGCGTCTCTTCCCAACCCCAAGTCTCTTCCCCTGCTGAGGCCAAGGTGGTAACTGACGGTGTCTGAATGACATGGTGACACCCAAGTAGGGAGCAAAGGGCTTCTCACTGCTGACGTTCTGCTGTCCCAGATCAGGACACCAAGAAGTTGGTGGGGGGACTGTTGGGGAATAGGGTGCTGGAGGTGAAACTCCAGGGATCTGTTAGGGTGAGCTCAGAGTCAGACAGACCTGGGTCCAAATACTGGCTCTGCCATTGCCTGGCTGAGCCAGGGAATGTAATTTCTTTAGCCTCTCCAAGCTTCACTTTTCCTCTCTGTAAAATGAGCTCAAGTCCATCTCAAGATAAGCAGAATAAAGGAAGGCTCAGCAAACATCAGTGTTCTGCCTTGATCTTCTCAATTTTTTTCTTTTCTTTTTTTGAGATGAAGTCTCACTCTGTCACCCAGGCTGGAGTGCAATGGCACGATCTTGGCTGACTGCGACCTCCGCCTCCTGGGTTCAAGCAATTCTCCCAATTAACCACCTGTGTAGCTGGGATTACAGGCACGTGCCACCACAGCCGACTAACTTTTTATATTTTTGGTAGAGATGGGGTTTCACCATGTTGGCCAGACTGGTCTCGAACTCCTGACCTCAAGTGATCTGCCGGCCTCAGCCTCCCAAAGTGCTGGGATTACAGGCGTGAGCCACTGTGCCTGGCCAATCCTCTTAATTTTGATTTCTGGTAACAAGAAGAGCAGTAATGCTTCACCGGACAACTCACATTCCACAAGGCAAATATGAAAGTCGTTCTGTCTCAGCAAGCCTGGGTCTTTCTCTGGACTGAGGGTTTCCACTTGCAAAACAAGGGTGTGAACTGGTGGCTGGTCTCAGGCTGGCTTTGAGTTTGGCGGGTAGAGGCTGCAGCTTACCCCCATGGGACACCAGGCTCCAACCCTTGTTAAAAGGGTTGGAGCTTCCACAGGACCATGGCCTGGAGGGAACTGTTCTGGCTGCTATTCATGTCGGGACCCAGCCCCACCTGACAGACGTGGGTCTAGGGATTGACTCAGATACCAGGGCCACTTATAGTTCTGTTCTGTCGCAGAGATAAACCTAAGTGCCTAAGAAATAACAGGTACTCCACAAATGTCAGCCAAACTGCAGCTTTCATTTTCTCCTTTACAAACAACGGATTTCTCTTCTGGGTCCTCTCAGAGATGTGGTGACAATCTAGAAGTGGTAGTGGAGGTGCTTTCTATACTGCCTGTCCATGTGTATTAGTCCATTTTTCATACTGCTATAAAAAACTGCCTGAGGCTGGGCGCGGTGGCTCATGCTGTAATCCCAGCACTTTGGGAGGCTGAGGTGGGCAGATCACCTGAAGTCAGGAGTTTGAGACCAGCCTGGCCAACATGGTGAAACCCCGTCTCTACTAAAAATACAACAATTAGCCGGGTGTGGTGGCTTGGGCCTGATGTCCCAGCTACAGGGGTGGCTGAAGCAGGAGAATTGCTTGAACCTGGGAGGCAAAGGTTGCAGTGAGTGAGAGCGCACCACTGCACCCCAGTCTGGGCCTGTGTCTCAAAACAAAAAACTAAAAGAACTACCTGAGATTGGGTAATTTATAAAGGAAAGAGGTTTAATTGACTCACAGTTTGGCATGGCTGGGGAGGCCTCAGGAAGCAGAAGGCGTCGGGGAAGCAAGGCACTTTCCTCACGAGGTGGCAGGAAGGAGAAGTGCCTATCGAAGCAGGGAAGAACAACTTATGAAATCATCAGATCTCATGAAAACTCACTCACTATCACGAGAACAGCATGGGGAAAACTGCCCCCATGATTCAATGACCTCCACCCGGTCTCTCCCTTGACGCATGGGGACAATGGGGATTGCAATTCAAGATGAGATTTGGGTGGGGACACAAAGCCTAACCATGTCACCATGTCTAGAACACAGAAATGCTCGCTCATATTCATGTGTTCCTATCTGAGGCGTTTGAACCACAGCGACTCCATCTTGAACAGGGGCTGGGTAAAATGAGGCTGAGACCTGCTGGGCTGCATTCCCAGGAAGTTAGGCATTTTTAGTCACAGGATGAGATAGGAGGTTGGCACAAGATACAGGTCACAAGACCCTGCTGATAAAACAAAATGAGGTAAAGAAGCCGGTACAAACATGCAAAAAACGAGGGCGATAAAAGAAAGTGACCTCTGATAATCCTTGCTGTTTTTTTTTTTTTTTTTTTTTTATTTTATCAGATAAAGATGGGGCTTCACCATGTTGGGCGCAGCTAGGATCTCAGAACCCCTGGCTTCAAGTAGATCTGCCCACCTCAGCCTCTAAAAGTATTTTGTTTTTAGAAGTTCCTAGGATACGGCGTAAGACCATGCCCGCCTCACTGATCATTAAACAACGTAAATTAAATAACTACATTAGCATGCTAAAGATCTACCCAACCAAGTGTTAGACAGTTACAATACATGCAACATCTGGAAGTTAACTTACATAGGTTAAAAGGAAGACAAAAACCATCAAGTTTTGGGAATTCCACACCCTTAATTCACTAGAAAACTCATAGAGTAATCTAACCTTGTTTATAGTAGATAAACTAAATACAAGAACATACAATAAAAAAACAAAAAACCAGCGATACCATGGGAGCGCATCAAGCCTAATGGATAAAAAAGATCCATTCTTATTGTTCATTTATCTTAATATTTTTATTCCATTATTATCTTATTTTATTTTTAATTGAGATGGAGTTTCGAGCAAAAATATAGTTGTAGCCACGACTGGAACATCGTGCAGTGGTGCAATCCCAGCTCACTGTCAACCCATCCGACCGTCCATGGAGTTCAAGCAACCTTCTCCTGCGCCTCAGCCCCCTGAGTAGCTACGATAGATAATACAGGCATGTGCCACAAAGCCCAGCTAATTTTGTATTTTTAGTAGAGATGGGATTTCTCCATATTGGTCAGCCTGGCCTTGAACTCTCGACCTCAGGTGATCCACCCACCTCGGCCTCCCAAAGTGCTGGGATTACAGGCATGAGTCACTGCACCTGGCCCTCTTTTGTTTCTTTACTTCCCTTTTATTTATTTATTTTGTGAGATGGGGGCTCAGTTTTTTGCCCAGGCTCAAATGATCTGCCTGCCTCGGCCTCCCAAGGTGCTGGGATTACCGGCATGAGCCACCGGGCCTGGCCCTCGTTTCCTTCCTTCTCTAATAAACTTACTTTCACTCTACTCTGTGGACTCGCCCTGAATTCTTTCTTGGAGGAGCTCCAAGAACCCTCTTTTGGGGCCTGGGTCAGGACTCCTTTTCAGTAACTCCCATAGTGCTTGCCACAGAGCCCTGCCCTGAAATCACCAATTCCCGGCCTACAGATGCACTAAATGAATATGATGGTGGTGCCTCTTCCCCTGCCCACACCACGCTCTCTGGCACGAGGAGGATGGCCACTGGCAGTGATGGGGATGGAGTAAGTGCTATGAGCCTGGGAGAGGAACACCCCAGAAACACCTGAGGTCACAGAGTGAACGAGGCAGATAAAGGAGCAATGAGAATAGGGCCCCCACATACGTAAACCCAGGGCAGCAATTTGGCCTGCATTGTGTCCTCCATCACACCCCCGGTCCTTGCTGTCTGACTGCAATCCCGGCTGCTTTCAGTTAATGACCAATGAGTGGTCATTTATTGCACATCTGTTCTGGGCCTGGTGGGGGCAGTGGGGGCAGCAGGTGGAGATGAGGAAGCAAGAGTTCTGCAAGGAAGTCCAAGCTGCATGAGGAGCCAGAGCCGGGGGATGGCTTGCTTTTTTTTTTTTTTTTTCGAGACAGGCTTTTACTCTGTCACCCAGGCTGGAGTGCAGTGGCATGATCATGTTCACTATAGCCTCTGCCTCCTGGCTCGAGGGATCCTCCCATCTCAGCTTCCCAAGTAGCTGGGATCACAAGTGTGTGCCACCACACCACACCACAATTTTTTTTTTTTTTTTTTAAATTTTGTGTAGAGACTGGCTCAAGTGATCCACCGGCCTCAGCCTCCCAAGGTGCTAGAATTCAAGAGTGAGTCACTGCACCTGGCCAAGACGGTTTTTTGTTTTTGAGGTTTTTTTCCTTTTTCTTTTTGAGACAGAGTCTCACTCTGTCACCTAGGCTGGAGTGCAGTGGCACAATCTCGGCTCACTGCGAACTCTGCCTCCTGGGTTCAAGTGATTCTCCTGTCTCAGTCTCAATGAAGAGATAGGACCAATGACTTCTAGATGACATCCAAAGGACATCATGTTTCTAGTGGATAATGCTAGGTGCCCAAATATCCACGTTCTCCTTTCATCATCAGAGAGCTTGAGATGGTACATATGTAGGTTTGTTATATAACAAAAAAAGTCCATTTATAAATAAAAATGTTTTTAAACAAAGAGCTGGAGATGGGCACACAGACACTCAGCTAAAGACATCTCGTAGGTTGTCCTTGCAGCTAAGTGGGGCCATGAGACTAGGCTTGAACCAATGGGCTGAAAGTTAAAGTGATTTCTGCCTTTTGGTTTTTAGGAATGGATGTGCCTGCCTGTGGCAGATTATATTTTTCAAAGATGACCACAAAAATATCTCCTATCTCATGTGTGATTCTACAGTGGGGCCTATGTTCCCTCTTCTTGAATATGTGTGCACTTGTGATTGCTCTGACGAACAGAGTATGGGGTATGATGCCATGTGACTTCTGAGGCTGGGTCACAAAAAGCAATTGTTATGAGTTAAATTGCATGCCCCCGCCCCCCGCCAAATTCATATGATGCAGTTTTAACTCCTACTACCTCAGAATGTGTCCTTATTTAGAAAGAGAATCACTGCAGATCTAATTAGTTAAGATAAGGTCATACTACAGTGTGTGAGCTCCTGATCCCGTAGGACTGGTCTCCTTATAAAAAGGGTAATTTGGGTACAGAAACAGACATGCATAGAGGGAAGACGATGTGAAGAGACACAGCTCAGACACCTATCTTCAAGGCAAGGAGAGAGGCCTGGAATAGATCAGAAGGAATCAACCCTGGCAACACCTTCATTTCAGACGGCTAGCCTCCAGAACTGTCGTTTAAACACCCAGTCTGGGATTCTTTGTTATGGCAGCCCTAGCAAACTAAATAGCAATGCCACCTTCATCCAATTCTCTGGAAATAAGCAGGAAGCCAGTTATCATGTAAATTCAACTACCCCAAGAATATCATGCTGGAGAACCCACATGTAGGTACGACGGTCAGCAGCCATGGCTGAACTCAACAACCAGCACCAGCATGGGAGTGAGCCTTCTCAAGCATCAGCCCAGTGGATCATTTAGATAACTGCAGATCTGCCAACCTCTGATTGTATTCACATGTGAGACTCAAAGTGAGAACTACTGAGGTGAGCGCTTCCTGTTCCTGACCCACAAACTCATGAGTGACATACAATGGTTGTTTGAGGCTGCCAAGTTTTAGGGTAACTTATTATACAACATAGGAACCGGAGCACCTGCCCTCTCCCTTCTCCCACTTGCCACTGGCTAGAACACAGATGAGATCATGGCGGGCTGTCTTCAGTCCTGTAAATGACATAGATGAGGGCATGGTGAAGCCACAAATGAGGAGCCTGGGCTTTTGGATGCCTTCATAGAGCAGAGCTGCCAGCTCCCCAGATGTCACTTGCGTTTCAGGTAAGAGAAATAAATTTCCATCCTGTTTAAGTCACTGTTAATTCCATCTGTTTTTTTTTTTAAACCAATATCCTAGTAATATCGTATATGTAAAATGAACAGCTCAGTGTCTAGAACATAAATAAGTGCTTTTTGGAAAGGTAGTTATTGCTATTTCATTATTATTATACTAATAGTAGTTATTAATATTATTACCCTAAACTGCTCAACACTCCTCAAAATGAACATGAGGAAGACCCATGTCACTGATGGTCAATGAGACACGTCAAGCTGTGCAGAAATTGTCTGCGGTCAAGCGTAATTCATACCAGGTCTCTCTTCCATCCGCCTTAAACTGAATACAGCTCTCCCAGGCAGACCAATAGATAGGGGATCACGGACACCAACACACAGACACATCATCCCACTCCCCACCCACACAATGAGCCGAAGCTCCGGGTAGCCACTGTGTGCTCCCATCCCACCTGTACTATCGCAGGAGAGAAGACAGGCAGCAAAATGGGATGGAAAGTGGGTCTAAGATAATGAGTGGGGAGAGGCAGCCAGAGAAACTAACTCCCTCCCCAGGAAATCAGGCAAGGCTTCTGGGAGGAGGTGACCACTATCCTGAGAGTATCTTCCAGGCTGAAGAGAGGGAAAGGGCTCTCTGCAAGCAGGGAGAGTGGCATGGGCAAAGGCATGGAGCATCAGAATCCACACAGCCACTGACCTACACCTGCCTCCTCAGCCTCACCCTTTCAGCTCTACCTCCAGGGAGGCTGGAGGGCAGCACAGGGAAGGGTGGGTGTCAGAGCCCTGTGGCCCCCTGGGGACCTGTGTCCAAGCAGGGACCTACTCTGCAGCTACGGCAGAGTCAGCTTTAGAGTCTTCTATTCTTCCAGAGCCATGGAACTGCAAACAGTACTTCAAAATCCTGGTTCACGCAGGGATGCCTGCAGTCTTCCTGTCCTTTTTACCCTCTCTGGGTCAAAGGCGTTGGCCTCAACCTGATTCTCCCCCTCATCTCCTAGTCCCCTGCCAGATTTGGGTAGGTCTTGCTGAACTAGAAGCCCAGGAGACATCCCATAGATACAGGAGGCTGCATGTGAGGAAGGAGACATAGGCCTTTCCTTCCTGAGGCCCCAGGAGGGAGACAGGACACAGAGACATAGACAAAACTCTCAGTGAATAGAGCAGAGGCCCTGAGAGCTGGGCAGCCAGAGAGGCAGGAAGAGTGCAAATGGGCAATCAAGGCAAGCTTCTTGGAGGAAAGGGGCAGGGAAGGGTGGATGTCAGGGAAGATCACCCTATAGGCAGACTCTGGAATCGGTGCAGAAGGGTGAGTTTAAACATCCACAGCGCCTTTAGGTTTCAGCATCTAGTCCAGGGGAGGTGGGGGCGGTACATGGGAGGGTGTCCCTATGGCCTTGTCACTAGGAAAGCACAGTTCGTGACTTATCCACTGAGTGTGAATTCAACGAGATGAGACAGGGCGGTTTTTTAGTGATCGGGCAGCCTCCACATTCCCCATTGCTGCTCTGCTCGGGGAAGGGGGACGGTAGAAATTACCTGCCTCTCCCGACGGTAGAAATTACACACACGGCTCTTCCTCCACAGCCCCATCTTGGACCACGCCACCGCCAGCCACTCCAGTCCTGGGCGCTACTAATACAGCTCCTAGGGAAGCGCCCCAAGGTCTTGGTGCCCGGCCCGGCCCCAGCCGTCCTTGGTTTCGCGGGGTTGGGTGCGGGAGGGACAGCCGTGTCCCCATCTACTCTGCTAGGCTGCCTAGCAGGCTCCTGTCCACGCTCCCTGCCCCTTCTTCCAGAACCCCATCCATCCCTGCCCCAACTCAACTAGAGTTCCTTCCACAGCAGTCCCTGGTCTGGGCGCTGTCCAGCCCCAGGCTGGGTGGTCGAGTCTTCCTTGGGCTCCCAGCAGAGGGAACCCCCGCTCCCGCCCCAGCCTCTATCCGAGTCGGTTTTCGCTCCTCTGGCCCCCACGCCTCCACCCTCCACTTCCACGAGACCTCCACGAAGGGAAAGGAAAGGAAATACAAAGGCACACATTCCGTTTCTGTGGAATTCGCTCGTTATTTTGGGACCAGGGAAGGACCACACACAGCCCTGCAGCTCAAGAGGCGAGGGCACCGAGACGCAGGACTGCGGTACCCGATCCCTGCCCAGATGCCGTCGGGAGGCGGAATCCGGGTTTCTGGGGTCGGGAGTGAACATGCAAATGAGGTGGGCGTGGTCTGCAGATCTCCCAGGAGGCCTCGGGGGTCCTCACCACAGGTCTGCGCCTCCGGCCTGCGGGAGTGAAGGGAAAGGAATCCGATCTGGGGAGGCGAGCCTGGGAGACGTCGTAAGTGATGTACCAGGGTGGGGCCAGACCGCACTCTCGGAGGCAGGATGTTATGTGACTTGACGGGGGCGCTTTTACTGCGACGTGCCCGGGCGGTCCTCGCCGTCTGGGAAGAACGTTTTGGAGAGGTGTGTGTCCGGGCTGTCTTCCCATGCCTGGGGGCGGGGCCTGGAAGGGCGTGGTCAGATCTGACCACGCCCCCGGTGGAGAAGGGCCGCAGGGGGAGAGCCCCAGGGGTCCCGCTCGGCCCACCCCGCGCCTGCGCTCACCACGGCCGGGTGACCCCGTTGAGGTAGTGGCTCAGGGAGGCGTAGTAGCGGCTCAGCTCCTGCAGGGAGGCGTCTTCGCCGGGAGCCTCGGGTTTGATGGGGTGGGCCTCGACCAGCGCCCCCAGGTAGACGAGCAGGGCCAAAAGCACTGTGGCCATGGTAGGCCACGACCTGCGCACCGACACCATCTGGGAAGGTGACGTTGGGGTGTGGGTCGTTCTGAGCCTCGATCCTCCACGGCAGGAGGCTGCGGCTGCCGTCGGGGCCGCGCTCCGGCGCTCTCCCTGGGGCTGGTAGCGGATCAAGGTTCAGCAACCAGCTTGCCGTGTGTTCTCCGGCACTGCACCGTCTCCTGCCTCAGTTTCCTAATCTGTCAGAGGGACATAAGCCCTGCCTGACATAAACCGCCCCCGCACCGCTGCTGCCAGAGAGGTAAATTAGAGAAGAGGGTTGTGCTGGCAACGGGACTCCCGGGGACTCCCGGGCCTCCTTCCCACCTCCAATGACCCCCTCCAATCCAGTTTCCCACCACTCACCCCCAGCTTCCACCATTCCAGCCTTAGTTTCCCCACAAAACAGCCTGGATTTCCTGGTACCAGACCATGCTTGAGCCCCCAGCCGCTCACAGCGACAGCTTATGAAGCAGATGAGCAGGAGGTAGAAGGCGAGGGAAGTTTCAAGGGCTGCACTGGGTCAGGTCAAGCTGAGGCCTCCTCTGCTCAGGGCTTTCCTTTCCGGGCTTATATCCCCTCCTGGAAAGGAAAAGGAGTCCCACGGGGAGGGAGAGCCAGCAGGGGGTGAGCCCTTCTTCCTCCTTCCAGTCCCGCCAGATCGCTGAGCTTACACCCAGCCAGTGTGTGACGTCTCCACCTCACAGGAGCTGAGGGGGCAGCTGCCATGCTCAAATTTGGGGTCCCACTGGATGGGGTACCTAGCCTAAATCCTGTGTTCAGCCCACAGCCCCCCCCCCCCCCCCCCCCGCGCCCGCAGGGGGCAGGTCTAGCCTCCTGAGGAAGTGAAGTGGTTGGACCTAGACTCCTGGGGCAGCCCCTAGGACCAGGGATGAGACTCTGTCTTCCTTAGCCTGTTCGTGGGTGGGAGTGGAGGGTGGGAGGGTGGACACATTTCCTCCAGCCTGTGGGATCTGTGACCACTCTTTTCAAAACACAATCATTTTCAGCCTCTGCTCAGTAATACCTTGGAGAAGGGCTTAGGAGTGACAGGACCTCTGGGGGAAAGTCTTTCTCCTGGAGGCAGGGGTGGGAGCACCTGACCTTGGCTCCTGACCTGTAGTTTATGGTATCCTGGGGGAGAGACCTCTCTGAACACTCCATTATGTTCTCTCTCCATTAAAGAGTTGGGGAAAGAGGCAGGAGGAGGCAGAAGCCAGTCCCCCCACCAGAAGCAGCTGAGTCGGCTACCTGTGCATCCAGCCTGGCACACAAAGACCCCGGTCCAGCCATGTGTGGCATACAGCCCCCTCCCCAGGCAATGTCCCCACCCCTATGCAGGTGTCAATCAGGGTACTGGTGACTTCTGGGCCTGAGTGATGCCAAGGCTTCCCAAGCACATGCCACTGTCCCCAGCCCATGGCAGTCTCCACTGGCCACTGAAGCCCAGATCTTTTGAAGGAAAGGACTCATGTTTATTAAGCACCTACTGTGCACTAGGTAGTACATAATTTCAGACATCACAAAGCAATGAGCTGAGTTTATCTCCATTTTCCAGATGAGGAAACTGAATCCCTGATGGAGCAGCCAAAGTCACCCATGATTCAAACAGGAAAAGGAGGGTGAGGCAGACCCCAGGAAGAGGACCTCTCAATTGTGAGGGGCAGAAAGGCTCAGCACCTGGAGTAGCCATGTGGTGCAGCAGGCAGGCCTGGGAGCAGGGACCCGAAGGCTGTGTCTGGGGCCCACCACCCACTACGAGAGGCTGAGTAGGGGAAGGGCCTCCAGACTGCCAACCCCCTCAAACCCACCTGCCCGGTAGGAGAGAGGGCTGTGGGAAGGTCTCTCCATAAAGCCCTTCCAGCTTCCTCTCCCTGGCCTGGCCAGACTTCCAGTACTTCCAGATGTCCCATCAGCCTATGGGGGCTGAAGGGGCCAACTTGTCCAGGTCGCTGGTTCTGAGCCAGCCCCTCCAGCCCCAGGACAGATGGCTGTGGGTGCTATTTTTAGAGCTCTCCTGAGGGGGAGAGTTCAGGGCTCTCTCAGTCACCCTTTTATGGGTTCAATCATGGGCATTCTCTGCAAATGGCTCCTTATCAGTCAGTCAGGCCCCATGGGACTCCACATCCCAGGAAACACCAGGGTGCCCTGCTGAGCATGGAGGTGGAAGAGGACACCAGGACAGGGGATATAGATCCTACCTTTGGAGGAAGGAGAAAAATCATTCTTCTTAGGGACTCCTCGTCCAGGGGGTAAGGCACAGCCCTGTCCTTCAAGAACCCGTCTCAAAGGAGAGACATGGCCGTACCATGGGGGATCCTCAATCTGAGGGGTTCCCAGAACATAGATACAGAGAGACAAACAGAGAGACAGCTGTTGTCCTGTTTGGAGGGTGACAGCAGAAATCAAAGAATTCCACTCCTCCACGGAAAGACAAAAGACAGGTGCGCACCCGAGGATGGAGGGGGCAGTGGGAGCTGGTTAGGACATCTGTGATCCCAGGAGTCAGGGCCTACAGAAGGACCCTGCAGGCTAACAGGGGCAAGGATACCAGAGAGTAGGGGGCTGTTTGCTCTTCTGACCCTGCGGCACTAACCATGGTGGTGATAGGGGGTTTCTAGTGCACTGATTCTGGGCAGAGAGATGGAGCCTGTGAGATGCCCACAGGGAATCTGACATCCCTGGAACCCCGTCATGTCTTTGGGGAATATGGGCTCCAAGGACAGATGGGAAGAGAGGAGAGACATTATAGAAGCGAAAGGGCATGGGATGGCTTGAATTTAGGCTACAACCTCTGAAGAAGTCACTTCCTCATTTATAGCCAAAGTAAGTGGGTGCCTGGGTAGTCTCAGTGTGGACCAGAAGCCAGCCTCACACATCCCTCCAAGCTCTCCCTATCCATCATACCCCCATCCTCCAAATTAACTCCCCAATTATAGGACAAGCCGAATGGTTCATTAATCACCGCCTTCTCATCGGAGAGCTTGTTAACTTGCTGATTAGCGGGGAGTGTGTCTCAGCCCTCTATCAATGGGCTTGGCTACCTCCATCCACACACCCACACCCATCATTGACGCATGACTCAGTGGCCATGAGACGTGTCTGGGCAGAAAGTTCAGAAACAATTGTTTTTGTAGATGTTTGAGACCAGGGCCTGCCTCCAACTTGTCCTTGAAGGGTAGGGGACAGAATCACTAGGACTTCCTTGGCCCCATTCTCAGAGCACCGGGCAAGGCCACCCTAAGTCAGGGAGACCATGGACCTGGACCCCAGCCAACAATTCCCCTTGTCTGGTGGGCTCAAGGGCCACTCATCAAGAGGGTGTGGCCTCTGCCATTCATCCCTAGAGGTTTAGAATTCTGCACCCCATCACCCACCTGCCCGTACCCACTCCCCACACATAAGGCCTCTCTGATCATTGTGCACTGTGCAGCACTGGCCCACTGCCCTTCCACCTGCAGGCATTTCCTCAGGCCCAGGGTCCTGCAGACAGCAGGTTATTATACAGCAAGAGTAATTCCATCCTCATTCAACAAGCACTTAGGAAGTCCCTGCTGTGTGCCAGGCACTCATCTAGGGACTGGGATAGGGCAGTGAACAAACAGGCAAAACAAAACCCTTGCCCTCATAGAGCTCACATTCTAGTGACACAGAAATAGAAAATAAATCAATAAGCATGGAGGCTGGGCGCGGTGGCTCACGCCTATAATCCCAGCACTTTGGGAGGCTGAGGCAGGTGGATCACCTGAGGTTGGGAGTTCGAGACCAGCCTAACCAACACGGTGAAATCCTGTCTCTACTAAAATACAAAAAGTAGCCAAGTGTGGTGTCTCATACCTGTGATCCCAGCTACTCGGGAGGCTGAGGCAGAATTGCTTGAACCTGGGATGCGGAGGTTGCAGTGAGCTGAGATGGTGCCACTGCATTCCAGCCTGGGTGACAAAGTGAGATTCTCTCTCAAATAAATAAATAAACAAATAAATAAGCATGGAATATGTCTGATAAGTGCTATAGAGAAAAATCAGAGCCGGGTATAGTGGCTCATGTCTGTAATCCCAGTGCTCTGGTAGACCAAGGTGGGAGGGTCACTTGAGCCCAGGAAGGAAGTGACGAAGCAAACCATGAAGCTACCTTGGGAAGAGTGGGAAATAGGTTTGGGAAACAGTGATGCCAAGAAGGAAGGAATTTTCACTTTTTGTGGTAGGCATTCTCCTAGGAGCCCTCCCTCTTACCTGAAGCTTCTGCAAAACGCAGTAACAGATACCTGTGGCATGGTGCGTGCCCAAGGCTCAGGCTTCGCTCTAGAACAGAGGTAGGCAAACTCTTTCTGTAAAGGGCCAGATAGTAAATATTTTAGGCTCTGTGCTCCAGACAGTCTTTGTTGACACTGTTAGGCTCAGCCATGGTAGCTTGAAAGCAGCCACTGAATACACCAAAAAAAAGAATGGACGTGGTAGTGCTTCAGTAAATCTTTACTTACAGACATTAAAGTTTGAATTTCATATAATTTTCATGGCATACATTTTTTTTTAAAGTTTTTTTCAACCACTTACAGATTCAACCACTTTAAAAAGCCATTCTTTTATTATTATTGAGCTCAAGAGATCCTCTGGCCTCAGCCACCCAAAATGCTGAGATTATAGCCATGAGCCACCATGCCTGGCCTAAAAGGCATTTTTTTTTTTTTTTTTTTTGAGACAATCTCACTTTGTCGCCCAGGCTGGAGTGCAGTGTTGTGATCTCAGCTCACTGCAACCTCCCCTTCCCGGGTTCAAGGGATTCTCCTGTCTCAACCTCCTAAGTAGCTGGGACTATGGGTGCACCCCACCACGCTCGGTTAATTTTTGTATTTTTGTAGAGACTGGGTTTCACCATGTTGGCCAGGCTGGCCTCGAACTCCTGACTTCAAGCGATCTGCCTGCCTTGGCTTCCCAAACTGCTGGGATTACAGGTGTGAGCCACCGCACCCAGCCCCTAAAAGACATTTTTAACCCACAGGATGTATAAAAACAGGCCCACAGGGCCATAGTTTGCCAACCCCTGGTCTAGAAAAGCAAGAACTCAGCTACCTCTGCTCTGGGTTGAGTAGTCTGTTTACCAAGAGTTGATTGGGTGTGTCCCTAGCCTGTTTATGCCAGGTGTATTGTCATTGTAATCATATAATGGAATTAAATATTACATAAACTGATGAGATATGAGTGTATGAAGAATTGTTTCCTTGCAAATGACATTAAATGCTTTGGAAGTAATACACAAAGAGTTGCTGACATGTTGAATTAGATGTGAAGGATAAACTATTCAGGGAAAATCCTAAAAATCTAGAAGTGTTCTACATCAGATTGCTTCACAAGTGTCTTTAAGTTTAAATAAACTGAAAATAATAGGTGATTAATTACAGGATTGTGGGTGTGATTTATGCAAGAAAGTCAAAGGGGGATTTGAGTCAAGATACCCAAAGAAAAACTAGTGCCTGAATATGAATTTTGTATACATGTCTGTTTTTATGATTGCCCACTTGAACTGACTTTTTCAAAAGACTGGTCAATGACTCAGACCTGCTTGTATCAAAACAAGGGCTTTTCCAGTATTGTATATATTTCCAATATAGTTTGAATGTTTTATAGGATATTTCTTTTTTGTTTTTTTCTTTTTGAGATGGAGTTTTGCTCTTGTGGCCCAGGCTGGAGTGCAATGGTGCGATCTCGGCTCACCGCAACCTCTGCCTCCTGGGTTCAAGTGATTCTCCTGCCTCAGCCTCCCGAGTAGCTGGG